CAATATTAAAATCCCATCAAACAATCATGAGAAGCAGCAGTGGCAGTGGATGCATTAATTTTAATTTTAATTTTTAATACGCTGAATATTGATAACTGTAACCCATACAAATAAAAACTCTTTTGGGGTCCTCCATAATTTTTAAAGTGGGAAGGGTCCTGAGAGCAAAAAGCTTAAGAAACACTGTTCTAGGTTAATCCCGTTAGTACCATGGATAGCTCCCAGCTATCCATGAATGAATACAAGCCATATCCTATGTGAGTTGGCACGCATTGCAAAACTGGTGATTTCATCCTTGTTATAGTAATGAAAGCACAACTCCTGCATCTTTTAGTCATCCAGAAGTAAGCTTGACTGAAGGGTATATTTGCCTTTTCAAATAATTTGTGGATAGCTTTCCCATACCCCTGTGGAATTTAAATGGAAAGCCAATGATCCAGGCATATTTGTGTTAATGGCATTGAGGTGAAATGAATGAGTATCAGGAAAGCTGAGAAGGACTAACCACCAAGTATGAGTTGGGTTTGGGGTGCACCAATAAAACTATGGAGACTGAGCACTCCACAGTTTAACAGTAAGGACAAACAGTTAATTGGAGCAAGTGGGTTCACTGGAGAAATGCTTCCCTACAGAATTTGCTGAAATATAATTGCTACCCATCTAGGACAGCAGCCACAAGTTACTGAATAGAAGACTCTGAACATAATAGGCGTAACTGATGGGCGTACTCCTTGTTTAAAATTATCAGTAATTTAGTATAGTCATCACAGTTGATTAAAACATACACCACAGACTGAGCTCATTTATAGTTCCCATGGTAACTACTTCCAGTAAGACATAGCAAAGCACCATGTCAATTAATTTTAAAAAGCTTCAGACAAGCTTGACAGACATATTAGTCTTTTGTTCTTTATTGTGGTGGCATTTCGTTGAGGATATTTGCATGCAAGGCTTTTTATCCTGCCGCACCCACATTTAACACTCTTTGCAAGCAATTTGCCAGGCCAGGGTTGACTTTAAAAACAAATTAAGCAGCACACATAGCTTGCATTTGTTGTATAACCTTCCCCTCACAATCCAGAGGCTGTGGTCATTTTGATCAGGAAATTTTTGTTATATCAAAACCACTGAACCAATATTGCAACTTATATGCGTAAGAATAGTTCTCTTTGATAGGCAAAGAATACCATAATGTATTTTAAAAAGGCTAAAATCCCCATCATGCTGAATCTGTTATTTTCTATTCCAGACTGCTTGATTGGGTTCCTATTACAGGTTTCAGCTTCACAGTTATATTCCCTTTTCCTATTGCCAGAGTGAAAGTATACATGAAACAAAAAATGTGTTTTGTGCTGTGGATGGAACACACACATTTTGATTTGGACACTCAGCTGAACTACTCTATGCAGGTCACAGTTCAGTTAATTGAATTCTGGAACAACTCCAGAATTGTTGTTTCAAGTTTCATCCAAGACAAATTCTGGAGTGTCTTGTGGGGCAAGTACAGCAAGGTTGGTGTGCCTTTTGCATGTCTGCTCACCGATCTTTGCACATCTTCCTTGCCTTAACCATAGTCAGAGTTGAATTCAAACATGGCATATCCAACTGGCCTATACAGCTGCCTCTCCCCCCAATCTTTCCAGTGTCTTTTTTCCTTGCAGGTGGCTTTGCCTTTTCCTCACTGCCTTCCATGGTGTTCCAAACATGTGTTCTGCGCACCCAGACAGAATGTGCATGCCTTGATCCATGCACAGATCTGGCTGTTCTGAACAAAGAATGATCCAAGCACAGAATATGTTGCACAACCCAGTGAAACAATATTTTAGAATGTTGACTAGTCAGCTTCAAGTTCAAATCCACTCAGTCAATGTCTCTGGGTGATTTGGGGCCAGCCAATATCTATTACATCTTTGATAAAATGGGAGATATAACAATGCACACAATCTTGAGGAAGATCTATATAGAAAAATGTGCCCTAATCTGTGTATTGTTTTTAGAGGTTTCAAAGCACTTTCATGGTTTCTGCAATCTTTATATCAACCTTATTAATATTGATCAGTATTATTCTAACTGTGCTAGAGAAAGGGAGATGAGTTTAAGAACAGTGTGTAAAGGACTACCTAGGAAGTTCATGGCCATATAGCTCCTGGCTCCAGCTTCTGCTGACTACTCACCCAAACGCCTTCCATTTTTGTTGGACTACAAAATCTGTCTCCCAACAAACATGACTCTGCTGGCTGCAGATAATTTGAATTACAATCCCATACATCTCAGTGTGTCAAGTTGGGGAAGACTGTAAACCAATTCTCACAATTCTCTTAAATTCAATATGAAAATGACAACAAGAATGTCTTGTGTTGTCCTTTATGTTACAAAAAGTAGCACTTGGGCTTCTTGGTATGGATCTCTCATGTAATACAGCACGATACACAAAATAGTGCTTGGACTACAGTATCCCTGACTTTTTGAATGTGGCACAAGACCACCTGCATTAAACTACTAATTAGCGTAGCAAATAAAATATTTTATATTCATCACAAAATGTGATCAGAGGCTTGACAGCACCTGTAGCTTCTAGTTCTAAAGGTGGAGGGGAGGGCAGAATGCAAGTCATATTTAGAGCCAACATACATTACTAACAGATGTAAAAAAAATGAAGAGTTCTGTCTTTGGAGGGCTGCACACAAGACAAAAAGCACCTCTAGTTGGTAGTGCCCTCATCTATCTGACATTCACCCAAGTTATCCATTTTCAGATTCACATGCTTTTATTTGGGGCAATTTTGATACTTTTTTAGGTATGAAAAGGTAAGAAACTCAATTGTATCATTCCCAGAAGCAACAAAAACTAAAAAGCAGTCCATTTCTTCTGAATACCATGCTTGTCAAAGGACTTTTATTTTTTTAACCACACTTGAAGGGTTGAAATATTGTTGCAAGCACCACATGTGTAAAGGCAGGCAGAGATTGGAGTTATTTGGATCACGCACACTCATTTCTTTCCGTGTTTGTTTCTTCTCTGGGGTGAGCTGTACGTTGCAGACAAACAGGAGCCAGGGAATTTTCCACACTGCCTGCCCCCCGCACCCCCCCCAGACAGACCATTTCTGCTTACCCCCTTTGAAAATCAAAGAATAGCTGTAGCTCTTGCAGAAATTTAAGACAGCAGAGGAAGAGTGTCAAAGCAGCAGTGCTTACCTTCTCTTCTGCCAAAGAAAGGAAAGCCACCATCTGAAGTCATCCTGTAATTGCAGAGAGTCTCCTCTCCCTCCCCATCCCTTCCCCAGGTTTCCTCCACAACATCAAAATAACATTAAACCCTAATGACCAGGGCTTGTTCTGGCATTTACATTTTATTAACATTTATTTCATTAATTGTTTTACTCTCACATTACAATCGTCTGGTGGTTTATTATTAAATGCATTTATTTTTCAATTTCCTTTTCCTGAAAATAAATAGAGAGAGAAGTGAACGGTATAAGTTGGATGCTTTCTGGAGTTCTGGTTAAACTTCATGATTGGATCTCCATCTCAGATTTTTGAAAAGAATCACAGCTCTCCCCTTCAAATGGTGACATTTGAAAGAAAGACTACCATAGCTTTAGTTCTGGCTACGCAAGCTGAGAGGAAGCACGAGGAATCTTGTTCTCAAAATAAACACATTGGATATAGATTATTAAAAAAAAATCATATTCTCATTTGTTTGTAATTGTGTACGTTAAGTCAGTTATAAATGAATCCCAGACTCCGGCTTGATGCTTAGGAGCACAATCAACTATTTAACCTTCCCTGAGTTAATTGCCACCTAGAGAGGGACAGGCATAGCAACGGGGGGGGGGGGGGGGGGAGGGACGATTAAATGTTCCAGCATAGCTGACACTTGAATCAGCAAACTGGTGTATAAAATGACCACTTGTTTATCTCCATCACTAATTTTGCAGTTTGGGCAATGGCTCTCAGCTAGCAAACTATGCAGAAAGCAGGCTTCAGAATGAGAACCAGGAGATGGATTCTGCAAGCAAGACAAAGCTCAGTTCCATAATATAGAAGATGAAGAGGATGGCTCCCTACGCTTCATGGTTGCAAGACTTCACTCTCATGCTTCTCCACAGCTTTGTGGACATCTGCCATTGGAGCCAATGCACAATTCACACAATTCAAGGAAGGCCTTCTGATCTTGGGGCCTTAAGCTATTCAGGCAGTTCTCTACATGAGATTATTTCTCTTAGGCTTTGGCCAGAACATGGTCTCCAAGGTGTGGGAAATCAACAGTTCTTTGCAGTGATCACATGCCCCTGCAAATATAAAAGTCCTG